GCCAGTGAAGGGCTTCTTTCTTTCTAAGGTCATCTTAAGAACCTCTGCATAATAATCATGTTTGCTTTACCATACACTGTGCCTAATTTTTTAAAAAATTAAGTTGATAAGCTCAACTCAAGCCTCTTTTTATTTAATGTTTAGATTAGTACTAAAATGAACTACTAATGTCTGGGTCCTTTGTTAGCACGGATTTTCTTTCAATACCTACCAGAAGGAGTGGCTTAGCTGTCTGAGTATCAGCTTTAAAGTACCTAGACTTCCTGGAACCATAGACTGTGTTCTTAGGAGGGCTCAAGAACTCTCTGAAATAGGTGGAATGGCAGACTATTTCCTCCATTAAGTGTTTTTCTACAAAATCTTAAAAACCCAAATAATCTGTGGACTTTAAAAATTCAGTAACTTTTTTTCTTCCTTTTGGAGAAATGCCGGTTTGCTGCATGACCTTAGAAATCCAAACATATGTCCTTTCCTTTTGCTTATCCTCTACAGTTCTAGCATGTTGTACCCTAAGCTATTTGTATAGACGTGAGCAATGATATTTATTTGCTTAAGCATTGTACTTTCAATTGTGGCCGAGCTAATCCATTCTAAAGGTTAGACTGCAGAGAACTACTCGCTGAAATCCATGTGGTAAGAAAGAGCCCTTCTTAATCGTCACATGATATGTTTAGTTGATGGGGTCTTTGAATTCTCACCATTTTTTTTTCTTTTGAGGCAGAGTCTTCCTTTGTCACCCATGCTGGAGTTCAATAATTTGATCATAGCGTACTGCAGCCTCAACCTCCTAGGCTCAAGCAATCTTCCCACCTCAGCCTTCCAAGTAGCTGGGACTAACGCATGCACCACTACACCTGGCTAATTAGTAGAGATGAGGTCTTACTAGGTTGCCAGGGCTGGTCTCAAACTTCTGAGCTCAAGCAATCCCCTCAATTCAGCCTCCCAAAGTGCTGAAATTACAGGCATGAGCCACCGCAACAGGACACAGTTTTATTTTAACATCTATGAATCCAGTGCATTTCTTCAAAGTCCTTTGGTGATTTTGTTTATGGTGCTATTGATGTTTTGCTCTATTTCACTCCATTGTATTTTAGAAATTTAAATGCAAACATGAAATGAGAGGATTTTCATTACAAGCTTCTTGAAAGTTACAATAGTCTCAACATAATGAACTCAAAATCTCAGTGCCTTGAAGGGTTTGCATGCCAAGCTGACCAAGTGCCTAAATTGTATAAACTCCCTATGTACACACTTAGAAATGGAATCATCAGATTGGTCTAAATAAACAACTTGAAAGACTTTGCTATTTGTTCACTAGAACAGTCATTATGATGTCCACACCTTTAAGAGGGACCCAGCCCCTCCACAGTTGATAATGAAGGAAGAATCTTCAAGTGAGGTGAGGCAGCTGGACTTCACAGGCCCTACCCTTATCCCCTGGGATTCACTTTTCATCAGCAACCTGGAGGAATCAGAGCTAGGCCCTGCTGAGCCATCTGGAGATGAAAATCAAAGCGGGAAGTACAGCTTCTCCTGGATTGGATCTGGGTTTTACTTTTTTTTTTCTTTCTTTTTTTTTTCAAGGAACAGACGGGTTTCTTCAGAGCATTATATCGGGGATTAAGAGAATTAGTAGACTCAGGTTGTTTTAGATTTAGAACATTATCTCAGAAGATTATGTAAATTCCCTATGCCTTGGTTTCCCTGTGAGAAAATGAAAACAGTAAGGCCTGGGCCCTCCCAATCACAAAGGGGCAGATGTTAAAAATATAAAGGATTTTAGCTTTTATACAGGAAATGCATGTGCAAAATATTATTCATTTATTAAGGTGCATGAAAATTTACTGTTAACCACACAAAAGATTATATACAGGAAATGCATGTGCAAAATATTATTCATTTATTAAGGTGCATGAAAATTTACTGTTAACCACACAAAAGATTAATCTGCATCATTGATATTATTCAGATCTTATAAAAATACGGTGGCCAGTCGTGTTTTTAATGCCAAGAACCCCAAGGAGCAACTGGTTTCTAAGCATCTACGCTTAGTTCTGAGCTGAGAGATGCCTCAAGGAAGATAAGAGACTCGCAGTTTGTTTGGCATCCAAAAAGCTTTCCAGACAGCAGTTTGTTTCCTTTCCCTTTTTATGAATGGTGGTAGTATTATGCTTCAGTCTGCGTTTTCTACCAAAGCCATTCATAAAAATAAAAACAAAACAAAATAACAACAACAAAAACTTTCTCGGCACAGTCTGGAGCCATTGGGTGCCAGAGGCTTGGAAAACATCCTGGCAGCCATAACCCCAACCAACATTGAAAGTATTCAAGGGTCTGTTTGTTTGGTGGTCTGAGAAGTATGAAGTGCTGTGTCTGAGGGTAGCTGGTAGAAGTTCCGTGACACGGACTAGGCCGGGAGCCAGGGCTGGCAGAGATTCAGACATTGTCTTTCCCCTCATTGAAGTGTCAGGACCTAATTCATGGAAAATTGGGTGAGCTGGCAGCCCTTTCAGAAGATTTCATTGAGCCACAGTGTGCAGGAGTCACATGAATGCGGGAGCCTCAGCCAAAAAAGGAGGGGGATTTCTGAGCAGTAGGAACCAGTCAGCCTGCAAGAATGTGTGTGGATTTGAAACGGTTTGGGAGTAAACATGTGTACAGGTGTAATCAGCAGGAAAAAAGGGGGAGGAAGAAGAGTGCTCTCTTCTTACAAATGACCCTTTGGAAATGAATCCTCTCTTAGTCCATGCTTTTGTGTCCTAAGAGGCAAGAAATCTTCATTATTCTTGGCCTGATTCCCCCTGGAGCAAACATCGTCTCAAAACGTGGGCTTTTATGATGACGTCTTCTCTACTGTGATTTAAAGTCAAAGGGAAAAATGTCTTTTCCTTTGAGCAGAAGTACCTTGCCATTTATTTTCTTTTTATCTTGTCCATCTAAAAAGAAGCTCTGATGATCTTTATATGGAACTTTTAATGTACCAGCAATAAACCACTGTACCTCTGAGAGGAAGGGGCTCTCAGAATGAATGAAGAGGAGTTTCATTGATCTAGTGATTGTATCCTACCTGCTGTTATTTGGGAGAACTGTAGCAATTTTATTTTTCATTGGTGCAAGAAAGTCACTATCCACATCAGAGTAGCTCAGCTTTACTCACAAATCTCAGTGATGTGTAGGTAGAATAATGCAGGCTTATATTCAGACATGAGAGTGGGGACTGGAAGTAAATAATCCATCGAAAAGCCCAGGCTTCAAATCCACCTTTTATAATGCCAAAGTAGTAACAAGTATTTTCTAGTACTCTATTGGAAAGTTAATTTAAGCAGGCAGAAAAACATTCTCATGGATGTTTCACTCAAAAGAGGAGAGTTTTGCCCTACACATACAATAGCTATAGATATAATACAAGAGTCTCCCTGTGATACCATCAAGAAAGTGAACAAATTCACAGAATGAGAGAAAATATTTGCAAATCATAAGGGACTTGAATGCAAAACATTAAAAGAACTTTGTCATGAAGAGATAGCAAATTTTTTTAAATAGGCAAAGGATTTAAATAACGCCAGGAGACATATAAATGGCCAATAAGCACATGAAAAGATGCTCAACATCATTAGTTGTGAGAGAAATTTAAACCAAAACAGCAGTGATGTTCAACTTCACACTCAGTTGGATGTCTATAATCAAAAAGACAGTAACAAGCATTGGCATCTATACGGAGCAATTGGAACTCCAGATTCGTTGCTGGTGGGACTGTAAAATGGCGCAGCTGCTTTGGAAAGCTGTCTGGCAGCTCCTCAAAAAGTGAAACCAAGAATTACAGTATGACCCAGTGATTCCACTCCTATATACCCAATAATGAAAACATGTCTGCACTAAAACCTGTATATGAATGTTCATAGTAGCATTATTCATAATAGCCAAAAGGTGGAAACACCCCAGATGTCCACCAACTAATGAATGCATAGGTAAAATGTGGTATATCCATACAATGGAATATTATTTAGCATAAAAAGGAATGAACTACTGATACTACCACGTGGATGACCCTAGAAAATCCTAGGCCGTGAAAGAAGCCACACACAAAAGTCTATATATATATTGTATGATTCCACTTACATGAAATGTCAAGAGAGGTAAATTTGTGGAGACAGAAAGTCAATTCACGGTCATTTAGGCATGCGAGGTGGCTAGGGATGTGGAGGGTAGTAGGGCATAACCACTAATGGGCACAAGATTTCTTTTAGAGGAGATGAATATGTTCTAAATTAGATTGTGGTGATGGTTGCACAACCCTCCGAATATACTAAAATACACTTTAAACGAGTGAATTGTGTGGTATGTAAATTATGTCTCAAGGTGTTTTTAGAAAATATTAACAAATCGGTACCTGCAAGCCTCAGTTTTGTGATGTATAGGCTAAAAACAAAGTTAATCAAACAGTTAAGTTTCTTTCAAGATAGTTGGCATGTACTGCCAGACTTTCATTGGGAATCATTTTCATTGAGATAACCTATGCTGTATTTCCTTAATATAGAGAGATCATGAATAAACAGTTTTCTTTTTTTTTGAGACAGAGTGTTGCTCTGTCACCCAGACTGGAGTGCAGTGGCATGATCACGGCTTACTGCAGCCTTGACCTTTCTTGGCTCAGGTGATCCTTCCATTTTTGCCTCCTGAGTAGCTGAGACTCAGTTGCACACCACCACACCCAGTTAATTAGTTAATTTTTGTACTGTTTGTAGAGACAGGGTTTCACCATGTTGCCAGCCTGATCTAGAGTTCCTGGGCTCAAGCCATCTATCCCAAAGTGCTGGGATTATAAGTGTGAGCCACCATGTCTGGCCATGTATAAACACTTTTAACTTCGGATAAACCAGCTGAACTGTACGCTTTCCTCTTTTCTCTGCAGACAAGTATCTATATTTAAAATATGTATACCAAATTTTTCTATAATGTATATTTTCTTTTAAAATATATCTTTTTCTTTTCCTCCTTAGCCACAACAAGTTGTTCAGAAGAAGCCTGCTCAGGTAAGAGACAGACATTTATTTTTTTCTCCCAATTAATATAAAAAGTGAAATATGTACTGAAAAATATCCCTGAACTAAACCTTTAATTAGTATTTCCTTCATTTTGATTATCGTCTTGCATTATTCTTGAAAATGTGCTTTAGCCTTCAAAGTCAGGAATATATAGTCTGCAATTATACCACTAAAATCCCTCAAAACTTAAGGTCTTAAGTGTACAAAGCAAATATAAATACTTTAAAAAATAAAACTATTTTATTTTGGTGCCTCATATGTAAAGCAAACACTTTATCTTATCCTATGTTTTACCAATCCTTAAACATCAAATTTTGTCCTTCCCAACTGACTGTCTTTATTCCATTAACTTGACACCAGACTCATATTTAATGATTCATGACTGGAAACATATTTCTTCATTGAACCATTTCATAATATTTGATGATCCCAAAACACTCCAAACAATGCTGGAATACTTGGAAATTAAGTTATATTAATTTGCAGATTGAATTCTTAGATCTTATTTAAATAACTGAATCACAGTCTCTGAAGTTTTTGGCAACATCAAAATTGGGAAACAGCTCCTCATCTCTTGCCCAATATTTACTGGAGCATCTTGTCCTCACTATAATCTATACATTCAAACAGTAAAAAAAAAAAAAAAAAAAAACCTTTATTGAGGAAGCATATCTTGAAGAAAACAAAACTGAAGTATAAATTAATCATGATTGCTAAGAATGTGAGCCATTATTAAAGTATAAGAATGTCCTGCTGTCCTCCTCCCTTCTGGATGTAAATAGTCATTGGAGATCTAGGTGCCAACATGCTGAACCTGCTAAAATAAGTTATTGAGCAGTGTCATGAGCTACCAAATTCTTTACGTAGAATTCTTTTATGTAATTTTAAGTATCCATGGAATCTTTTTCCCTAAAAGTCATTAAAAATCTACCTTGCATCCTGTTTTCTTAGGTCAATGTTGCCTTGCCTGGGAAAGACCACCTGGGCAATCTTATATGTCTATTATTCTCTAAAAATGCCACTTAAGAAGAGAATTGAAACTTCTAAACCCATGAAAAGATCCAGGGGAAGTGTCTTCAAACAATTACACATGAGCTTTAAGTGGAATAAAAACAGAGTTACCACAAAAAAAAAATTATTTTCATTGCTTCTCCCATACCTAAAAGCTCAGAGTGGGAGAGGGGTGCTAAAGACCTGCTGTCTGTGTCTGTAAGCAGTATTTAAAATGTATATGTATGTATATATTTGACATTTTAAGTAGGAGAACCCAAATATATTTAGCCTCTCATCCTTTATCTGTACAAAAATCAAGATAAAGTAAATTGATAATTCTGTGCATTTGAGTCAAAGGATGACACAGAGTTCACATTTGCATCACAGGCTGTGAACTATAGATTAATAATCTTAGGTGATTTGTTAATATTGATTCAATCCCTGTTCTTAGTATCATAGGGAAGATGAGTCAAACAAAGAAAAACAGTCACCGCATCTGAGAAATGTATTTATATGTATATGCCTGTGTCTATCCAGTGGCATGCTGGAACCAGCCCTTGAGAGCAAATAGTGAACATCTCTTCTGAATTCAGTGTTCAGTAGTGTCAAGTAGGTAGCTTGAAATCCACTGTGGTGGGAGTGGTTACACCATGGAAAGTGGCAAATACTACAAATCAGGACTTTTTTTTCCTGAAGAGCAAGTTGTTAAACATTTACTTCCTCAGCTTGGCCTCACCCTTCAGCGATTCCGTTTATTTGGTCTGGAGATACATCAGTATTTTTTATGAACTCCCTAAGTGAGTTTAATGTGCAACCAGAGATGAAGACACTCAGTGAAAACACAAGAAGATGTTTGAGCATTTGTTGAGCAAATGACCACAGAATGTGAATGTGCGTGTGACACATGGGAGATACAGATGAATGAGTGAAATGCCTCAGGTTGTTAAGGGGATGACACCCCAGAATGGAATTTTCTTGTTTGATTTTTGTTGTTGTTGACTTGCAGAAGGGAAACCAAAACATAAACTAAGGGAAAGAAATAACAGATGAGATGAATGGCATATAACAAAGGTAGAGAGGCAAGAGCAAATACATCATAGGTAGAGATTATTAATGTGGCTAGAACTGATTGCAAGTTGGACATTAATACACCAAGAAATAATATAAGTGAAATCACAGTTTTTTTTCCCCCATGAGAATCCAGAATCTCAAAGAAGCTGCAAGTGGATTGAGTTGATTTTCAAGGATCAACCTGGCTATCTTACAGACCCTGTTCCAGATTTGCCCTTTATAGAAGAGTTCAGACTCAGATTTATAAAAAAGAACATGAGCTCATTGGGCTACCTAATTTACATTGTCTAATGACACAGTGATGAATTATATAAACACGAGGACTATGTGAAAGTTCTTGGAGGATAATGTAAATTTTACACTACATTCAAAAGAATCTCTTCCTTTTCCATCTGTTTCTTTCAAAATACCCTCCCAGATGGCTTTCCCATGTGGCAATCTGGATTAACTCAGCCTCATATCCTTGCTTCAACAGTACTTTGAGAGGTTACATTCAGAATCACTTTGGAGGTGGTAATTTAGCAAAACTAAATATTTTACATCTAAGAATAAGGGCTCAGCTGTGTGTAAAAAGACATAGGCTTTTCTTTCTGGCCCCATCACTGGGTTAATTAATTTCTATTTGCTCTATTTATCCATCTATGAAATGGGATAATAATAATGCCTCTCTCCTTATTACCAAGAAGATTACAAGAGATTCATGATGATATAAATTCCAGGTAGCATTAATACATTCTAACATTTTTGACTGTTAAAGTTTTTCATTTCCAGAGATTTACAGTCTCAAAAACTCTAGAATCCTAACTTATTCCAAAGTACTTCCTCTTTGACCTCAAGTGTTTTCATTGAATGTTTTTTAAAGCACGATTTTTTTAGGATTTAGGATTTTCTTTAGCAAGAAGTGTTCTAGTAATTGCTCCGTCCTTTAGCCCTAATCATCTTCACTGTATTTATGTTACACGTCTAGAGAGTTAGAAAGGCCGTGTGGTAAAGTATCCTCATATGGCCCAATGCTGAAGCCTCCTCAGAACTTCAAGAATGGTCCTTCCTGAACCTGGGGTACAAAGCAGTAGAGTTTATTCTGAGGAGACAAATTCAGAGTTATGATAAATCTCAGCACCTACATATGCACTTGTGTTTGTGTATACAAGTACATGCATCTAGAGAGAAATAAAAAGTAAAGGGACACCCTGTTGTGGGGGCTTGTGTTGGGGAAATCCACCAGGTGCCATCAGCTGCAAACCTCAAGTGTGTCCCATAATCCTAATGGGAGAGTTAATAGCCTCTTAAAAATCTAAAGGGGAAAATCTGCAATATTCATGCTTTTTTCTAAAATTCCAAAACCAATGAAAACAGCTTACAAAATAACTCTACTATATTTCCACTTCAAGTGATAAAATAAATAATAAATGGAAATTAGCGAATTAAAATAAATAGAAATGAGGCTGGGTGCAGTGGCTCTTGCAATCTCAACACTTCGTGAGGTCAGGAGTTTAAGACCAGCCTGGCCAATACGGTGAAACCCCGTCTCTACTAAATACACGAAAATTAGCCAGGTGTGGCAGTGGGAGGCTGAGGAAGGAGCATTGCTTGAACTTGGTTGCAGTGAGCGGAGATCATGCCCCTGAACTGCAGCCTGGGTGGCAGTGAGACTCCATCTCAAAAAAAAGAAAAAAAGAAACAAGAGATAGAAATGAGCTCGTTTTTTAGCAATTTGAGCAGTTGAATTCTCAGTCATATGAACTACATTTTTAACTCTAATAGGAAATAGTGGTTAGTTTTTCCTTTTTTTTCTTTCTTTCTTTCTTTTTTTAATTGCCCAGGCTGGAGTGCAATGGCATGATCTCGACTCACCACAACCTCCGCCTCCTGGGTTCAAGTGATTCTCCTGCCTCAGCCTCCTGAGTAGCTGGGATTACAGGCATGTGCCACCACACCCAGCTAATTTTGTATTTTTATTAGAGATGGGGGCTTCTCCATGTTGGTCAGGCTGGTCTTGAACTCCTGACCTCAGGTAATCAGCTCACTGGACCTCCTCCTCCCAAAGTGCTGGGATTGCAGGCATCAGTCACCATGCCCAGCAACAAAACAAACACCATAAAAGTATCAGATTATTAGAGGGTGCTTTGTTTCTCAAGTTCTTACTTTGATAAAAATAAGTCTCCATCTGAGATGTCTAAAAAAATCTCACTAGTTTATCCGGTATTTGACATTGCTATTTCCCTTTGAAGGCTTTAACCTGAGACTAAAGCCTCAGGGGACTCCCTAAAAAGGGACTCCCTAAATGTAATTCAGAAATTTTTCTCTCACTTTTCTTCCCTACCCAGAGGGAAAACAGGTTTTTAAAATCCTAACAGTACTCCACCCTTTCAGTCTACTTTCCTCATTGTTGTATAGCCCTGGCAAGCAATGCCTCTGGCAATTAGGACAGGTATAAACCTGCTCTTTTCAATTTCCCAATGAGAGGATTGAAGTTTTCAGTTTCTAAAAAATTGGAAACAAAGCTTTCTGTTTCAAAAAAAAAGAGCTTTTACTTGCGAGTAACATCTTCTGTGGGTGGTGTGCACCAGGGCAAAGAAATCTCAGTAAGCCTTGATTATCACGGGATTTTTTTCCCCCCTTAAATAAAACGTTGAATGTTTTTACAGAGACTTCAAGGGCAGTTTTAAGGATGTTTATATTTCAGACAACCTAAACATTGTTTGGAGCAAAATGAGAGATTTCATTTTGGGACAAGCAAGTTGATGAATTGCAGTCAGCATCTAGTTCTCAAAGAAGGCATTTTTACTGGGGGCTTTTAGTCTAGACATACAAAGAGGGAAGGAGGAAAGGGGAGAGCATTCTCACTCTAACACTCATCTTTTACATGGTACCTTGGCCAGTGCAATAAATAGTTCATAATAAATCAGACTTACAAATACTCA